CATCTGGAAAAGATCTGGAGATTTTGGTGGATTGCAAGGGTAATGTGAGTCAACAATGTGATATGGCAGCCAAAAAAACTAATGTGATCTCAAGCTGCAATAAGGGGAATAGCTTCCAGGAAAAGGAAAACGATAATCCCATTGTACTCTGCCTTGGTCAGGTCACATATGGAGTACTGACTTTAGTTCTGGGCACCACACATTTTGGAAAAGACACTGATGAGCTGGACAACAGCCAGAGGAGTGCAACTAAGGAGGATGCAGGACTTTGAGTCCATGGTATATGAGGTTAGCTGAAGAAACTAGGAAAGGAAGGCTCAGGGCAGGGGTTGTTAACCTGGGGCGTGTGGACTGTGAAAGAAAAATGCTAACTGCATTTCAATATAAATGGATTCCTTTCTAGTCCTGTTCATTTTACATTACATATTTAACAACACTTTGAGAAAAGATCCATAATTTTTACCAGACTATCAATGGGGTCCAGGTCACAAAAAAGTTGAAAATCCCTGCTAAAGGGTAACCTAGAACCTGTCTTCAAGAACATGTAGGGCTCTTATGTGAAAAAGGGACTAATCTAGTTCTGTTTGGTTACAAGGGGCAGAGACAGGAACAGAGGGTAGAAATCACAAGGAAGCAAACGTCAGGAAAAATTTCCTCAAAGTTCAAACTATAGAAAGGTGGAATACACTGCTTTGGCAGGTGGTAGGTTCCACCCCCTGCCCCCGCCACTGGATATCTTTGAGCAAGGGTGAGGTATATTGTCCTTTGAGCAAAGAACTGGTTGAGTACATTGTACTAAAGATTATTTTTGGTTTATGGATTGAATTAGGTGATGACTGACATCCTTTCCAACTCTAAAATTCTTTAATTCTTTGAATACCCAAATCAGAGAGATTATAGATCCAACTAAATATCTAAAAAAATGAGTACACTGAAGTCTTATCCAAAGTAGGCCAGAATAACATGAAATTTTATTAGCTGTACTTTTTATTAGTATTTTTATTCTCATGTCTACTTAAAGTATTATGCCTCAGGCAGGCGCTTCTATATGACAGTATTTTTTGAGCCTGGCTTTCTGGTGTGAGACATCACAATTATGAAGTGAAAAAAAAAGATTTTATTTACTAAGATTCAAGTTTTTCTAAAAAATTAAGTGAAACATTTCAAGAATCTTAACTATTGGTGAATCCTGGATTCCAACATTTTGTCCATTTATAAGTCATTTAAAATGTGCCTAAGATAAATGAAGGTTTATGAAACCTTCCATAGAGAAGGAAATTTGAAAGAGAAAGGAAATGAAAGTGAATCTTTCAGATGTAAAGTCATTTCTTGATTTTACAAAATTAGAAATCCAAGAAGAAATATCTTAAAACTAGTAAAGGTAAAACCCTGCTACAGACCTACTCTAATATCTCATTGTGGCATAAAAGTGACGCCTGAGCTCCCAAAGGCTATGCCAACAAAATACCAAGTCTCACTAAGCTGAGCAAGCTTCAAGTATGGACCAAGTGCTGAACTAGATGTTGTCATATGAAGTCTAGCTAGACTTGACAATTAGCTGTGTTAGCAAACAAAAAAAAATTCATTTTGGAATATAAGTAAAATTCCATTACAGAGGTAAGTATGCTGTGAACATTCAAAAAGTCTTCTTAATAATTAAGAGTTCCAGAGTCTCCCATTTGCCGTAAGTTGACTCACATTTCAGTCCTACCTTGCTGATTTACTAGTTCTTCGTTACTCCTTCCCAAAGCTTTGATTGTTTCCTTCTCTAGGTCTCCTACATTCTGCATATGCCCTTGTCATGTCCTTGTGATGCTTCTATGAACTGATTCCTGGTACCAGCCAAAGATTAGGACTCAACATCACCCAGCAAAATGAAATAGTAACCAGACCTAATTAATCCATGTAATGACAGTGAAGAGTAAGAACAAATTTTATAAAATTGGCAGCTTTTCAGTAGTAAAATGGAATAGGGTTCATACATATTTTTCACTTTCAAATGATCCCATCCTCATTTCCATTATATCAAAGCAGTGAATTTGCTTAAAGTAAAACTATATGTATGTATGTGTGCATGTATGTGTGTGTATTTTTAAGTTTAGAAACCTACCATTTAATTGCCTATAAGTTGAATTTTAACATTCTTGAGTGAATGATAATACTGGATGCATTATTTATACTTATCTGCATCTGTTAAACATTTTGGCAAACAATTGCTTAAGAAAGATAATTTGAAAAAAGTTCTTGTCCATGAGCAGTTCAATTTCATTTTTTTACTCAAATATAAACTGTGTCAATGTCCCCAGTGTTTACTGAATGTGTTAATAGTTCTATATTTAATCTGTTTCATTTAGTTGCTTGGTTACACTAATTCTGCTGTTCACAATGAGGTTGGTTACACTCTATTCTCTGCCCTAATTTGACAATATATGCAGTATTATGTTTGGTTTTGGGTGACACATTTTAAAAAGAATATTTGCAAGCTAGAGCATATTCAGAGGTGGGTGAGTAGGATAGTGAGGAAATATAAGAGTTCAAAAGTTAAAAGAACTGGGAATGTTTAGCCTGGAGAACAGAAGATCTGGAGGGGACATGATAACTGTCTGTCATGTGGAACAGACATAAGCTTTATTCTGCTTAGGGTAGAACTAGAAGCAATGGGTGGAAGCTACAGAGTGGCTGATTCATGAGGGAAAAACTTACTAACAATTGGACTGTCTAAAAATGAGATTAACTGTCTCAAAGAAATTGTGAGTTCCCTATGGCTGGAGGTCTTCAGAGGTTGAATGACCACTTATCAGGTATATCATAGAAGGAATTCCTGAACAAGTGTCCACTGGACCAGGAGGCCTTGGATGGCCAACACCAAGACGCTAGGATTCTATGACCCTGCATTATTCAGCACATTCCAAAGCAAGAAACTCGTGCTGATCCCTGTGCACTATCTAAGCCAGTTCCCTTTGTGACCAGCGGGAACTTGCTGCCCTGGTTACAAAATGCAATCCTTTGCCAGAGCAAAACTCACTTATACACATTCTGATTGAACCCATGACCTTAACCTCATTAGCCCTGTACTAAACAGTAAAAAACACACCCACACTTAGATTAGAAGACTCCAAAGAAACAAGTTTTCATGCCTTCAACCACTTCATTCATATTTTTCACTTCTCCACAAACATGTCCTCTATAGCTATAGACTTGGGCTGGAGCAATTAGGTGGTATTTTTTTTTTGTCTACTAACAAAATATATGTCAGATCCTGCTACAGCAAACTCCTAGCTATTACTTTAATTCTTTTATCATAATGGAATTCTGGCTGAATATTGGTTGAAATGTACAACCACTGGTTGGGGCTTGAAAATTTTTCCACCATGCAAGATTTTATTAAAATGTTTTTGTTATAATATTGTATCCCATATCATGTATTAACTCCCTACAATTTGAATGTATAACACCTCCCAAACTTTAATTTCAAATATGACACAATTCATATATAAGTGAATAGATTTCTAAAATGACACAATTTCAAAATGGGTCTAGTGACTTTTTCAGGGATTACAGTGATTCGCATCAAGTTCCTGGAAATAAATAGATATTGGCAGGGAGAACAAATTAAAACTGAGTCTGGGATAGTTAAACTATATTTACTAATATTCAAAGATTCTGAAGGAGGAACTAAGTTTTTATGCTGGTATCTGCCCAAGGGAAGAATTCCCCCATTTATTTATGTACCGCGAGATGGTAATCTTGGCACCAATGCCATATACCTATGGCAAAGGGCAGCTTTGTTACTCTCCACCTAAAGGAATGGTGTACAAGTTTTTGTCAGTAAAGACAAAGATGAACAAATAGATGAAATAATTCTCAAAGATACAGGACAAAATTCACCCCAAAGGGAGAAGAGATATTATTCGTTGATACTAACAGCTCTACTATAATATCTGAGGGCAACTAGGTGGCACAATGGATAGAGGGCTGGGCCTGCAGTCAAGAAGACTCATCTTCCTGAGTTCAGATTCAGTTTCAGACACTTACTAGCTGTGTGACCCTGGGCAAGTCACTTAACCCTGTTTGCCTCAATTTCCTCATCTATAAAATGAGCTGGAGAAGGAAATGGTAAACCATTCCAATATCTTTGCCAAGAAAACCCCAAACAGGGTCATGAAGAGTTGAATATGACTGAAAAAACGACTGCACAGAAAAACTACATTATCTACCTTGACAGACTTTTGCAATATCCTCACCTAATCATAGTTACCTTTTAGATACTTCTCTATTCATTGCCTTTAACACATACACACTTTTAAAATTTCCTTTTCCAATTCAACAAGCATTTGTTAAGTACCTGTTAAATGCATGGCAGTTTACAAGACCCAGACAAAATAGAAAAAATAACAAAAACAAAAACAAAAACCAGAAAAACCAACAATTATCTCTGCCCTCAAGGAGCTAACATTCTGCATTATGTTTTTAGGAACCCAAGGTCTAACAGGGAGCTCAACTTCTTTACATGTGATGTGAAAACTCTAACTTTACAATGGATTTTTTTGTGACATTTACTTTCTCCTTGATGAATACCCTCGCATTGCATTTATAACTTTCCATATTACTTAGTCTTAGAAAACACATGTGTGAGTTATTTGCCTTTTCAGGAAATCATGCAAGTTCTCTCACAAAGGTTTTAATTTATTTATGCATTCATGTTTGCATGAAACTGCTTTCAAAACTCAAGTTTTGGAATTCAAAATGCACTGCCTCCAAAATTACTCATTTTTTTCATCCAATAAGTTTGTAAATGTGATGCTTAAATGGAAAGGAGCCAAAAGTCTATACTACTATTTCTGAGGAAAATCTAAGCAGCTGTGGCTGTGTAATTTAAAACCTCTGAAAAGTCTGCTGCAGTACTTGCCCTGCCTTATTTTAACATGAGGATTGGATGCAGAAAGTTCTCCAAGGGATCCCCTTCCCCACGGCATGAAAAAAAGAAGTGAAAGACAAACCTGAGTACAACCTGAAAGGTCCAAATCGGTGATCTTGTGGCATCCTTTGCCTAAACTCAGGTACTGTAAACCTTTCTCTGTGAATTTCCTGCAATAAGCCAAACTAAGTTTCTGTAAGCTGGGGAAACATCTGAAAAGAAAAACGGGGAAAAGAGGAGATGAGAAGAGGGAATGGTCATTATGGTTCACTGCAGAATTCACATTTCAGCTGTTTGCTTGCATTTTTCTTAACAAACAGTGACTAAACAAAGTAAGATTGTTAACTGGACATCCTCTTTAGATGTTTAATAATTTTTTGGGGGGCAGGGGCTAGGGTGTGGAGTAGATCTGCAGTAGTGGAAAGACTTCTTTTCATGCTGAAGAAACTAAGATTGGCAGAAAAATTTCAGGACTATTTAGAGTTAGGGTTAGAGTTAGTTTCATGTTAGATGAATGCAGAGTTAGATGAAAATCTCTCAAAGGAGATTAACTTAAAAGTTGAAGAGAACTAACTTTCAAAAAGCCACTGGGGATGCATGCATGTTTTTTGAAAACTAGTGTATTTTTAAAAACAAAGTTGCAAGATTTATTCTCTTGTTTTATTGTAAGTTTTATCGGTGGGACATCAAAATTAGAATTGCAATAAGGGATGCTGTAAGTGTGCAAATAATAAATACTCTGTAAAATTTTCTCTGCTGATGAACTTTTACTATACAAGATGGTTAGAGATTCATTTGACTTAAAAAGCACATTGTCAAAAACAATAAAAAATGAATCTGGAATCATAATTGCCTTAGAAGTGAGAGACACCTAGAGCAATTCCCTCATTTCACATTTGGGAAAACTGAGGACCATAGGGATTAAGTAGGTTTCTCAAGGTGACTCATCTAACTAGTGGCAGAAATGGGACTAGAACCAGATCTATTGGATCAGTTTCCAAAGCTCTTTCCAAGTTGTAAGTGGTTATTCAAACGGAATCTAAAAAGTTACTTTTAAAGTGGAAAAATTTATTTTTAAATGAATTTTTACCATTTATAGTATCAATCAACCATTTCCAGTACCAATCTTTAAAAAGGGCTAATGTACTATGATTAAATGAACTTATAATAGTAGAGTGCAAATGGTTTGGAGTGGATATGACATAAATAAGAAAATATATCATAGACTATGAATCTTTTGAGAATTGAAATAGAGCAGTTACAGCCATGCCACAATGACCAAAATAAAGGCTTCCAGAGAGATGAAATGTAATTAGAATGAGTCTATATTACTGTGCTCTTTGAGCTTTCGGTTTCAGGATAGTCTTTGGGCAATTTTCCAAGGCAGCCCAAGTCTAGTATTTCAAAAAATGCAAGAACTCCCACTACTGACAACTTCTAAGGAAGAGGAATAAGTCATTGTTATAGAAACTAACAACACGCGTTTGTAATTGACAACATTGCAGAACAAAATTAAAGGACAAAAAAGAAGGCAGGGGAAATGGTTGTGAAAAAAAAATCCAGAAGACTTAAGTTCATATTCAATGAAAAGATAAAATAAAACACATATACATAGTATTATTAATTTTATTTCTAATAATTTGAAACACACATGTCTACATGAAACAGATTACCCCACTCATGCTGAATTTTTTTGAACAAAACATGATTTTCTCTCTGCCTGCAGCTTGTATTCAAAACATGATGAAACATTTTAGTATCTTTAATGTTGTTCTGACTCAGATCAACAGCTCAGTGAGGAGATGAGATAGACTGAGCAGAAACAGTCCAGGCCACTCCCCTCCCTTGCTTGGAGTTTCTAAAATGATCCAAAGGACTGTTGATAAAATCTTAAGAATATAAACTTCATCTTCACTCTTCTCAGGTGAATACTGAGAGTGAGCGGGGAAAATACAATTTTCTTCCATCTATACTCAGATGTCCAAAGACTAGTTAGACACACTGAAGGATATCTAACAACAGGAACTAGTAAGCAAAATAAAGATTCCAAGGAATCTTGTGGAATCTCCCTCCATGGCAGTCTTTTAAAATGAGAACCTATACTTATTTCACAAGGCCAGACCAGATGTAGTTCTTTTAGGAAGAAGGTAAAGGGATGCATAGTCATATGACATTTCAGTATTTTGTCCAATACTATGGATCCCTTTGCTTCCACATAATGAGTCAAATCCACCATTTCAAAGATGGAAATCTATTAGAGTAAAAAAGTTGCACTTCCATAAACTGAATAATTACAAATTAATGGGACTACCAGTGACTTGTCTTCAGAATGGAAAACCGTAAGTGTGGAAATCCATAGGGCACTTCTCAATTGTTTATCTTTCTTAAATTTTCTCTTTGGTAGGAGAACTATCAGTTGACAGTGAAATCTCATTTGGCAAATTTTAAGTAACACTGCTATATTTCATTCTGAATTTGACACAGAATGGTGTCCCCTGCTGAGCAAGATCTTATCCCTCATTTTCAAATCCTGAGAAGATTTAAGTGTGGAGTAAAATGGATGATAGTGGTAGAAGAAGGATCATAAGAGATGGGTAAATTCAAGAGTCATTTCTAAGCAGATTGAGAAGATAGTCATTGACTGGACAGACAGAATAAAGGAAAAACACTCAGCAGTTTTGAACCTAGGGGAATTTGGAGAACAGTAGTACTGTTAAGAGAAAGGGAAAAGATAAAATAAGGACTTCATATATTGTAAAAGGTGACATTCTATACATAATAGCAGCCAAAAATTAGTAATATTAAAATGAGTAGAAAGAATTCCACAAGAAATTAGGTAACTGGGAAAAGGTGAAACATAAAGTAAAAATATAAACCAAAACAAGTCAGAAATAGGATTACGCAAATGGTCTCAGGATTTGAAAATGAGGGATAAGATTTTGCTCAGCAGGGGACACCATTCTGTGTCAAATTCAGAATGAAATATAGCAGTGTTACTTAAAGGTGACAAGCTCAGTTTTGGACTTAATGAATTCAAGTGGAAAAGTCATAAAGTCAACCAAAAATATGGAGCTGGGGCTCTGATATGAATTTATCAACATAGAAGTAATGGCTATCTAACTGAGAAGATGGATAAACACTCTGAGGGAATAAATGAAGAAGGATAATAATAAAAGTTTCCCATATATTTGATGCTTTCAAATGCACAAAGCATTTTACACAATTTACCTCATTTGATCCTCATAACAACCCTGTGTGAGAGCTGCTATTATTATCTTTATTTAACAGATGAGGGAACTGAGGCTAAGAAAGGTTCAGTGACTAGCCCACAATCACAGAGGCAGGAAGTGTCTGAATCAGGACTTGAACTCAGATCTTCCTAATTAAAGGAAGATGTGCTATATGCCACCTATCTGCCTCAAGAGAAGAGGCCTGAGGGGCAGCTAGGTGGCACAGTAGATAGAGCACTGGCCCTGGAGTCAGGAGGACCTGAGTTCAAATCTGACCTCAGACACTTGACATTTACTAGCTGAGTGACCCTGGGCAAGTCACTTAACCCCACTGCCCAGCCCCCCCCAAAAAAAGAGAGAGAGAGAAGAGGCCTGAGGATGGAAACTTTTAAATATGCTCATGGTTAATGGAATAAAAAAAATTAAACTTGTCAGGGAACATGTTCAGATAGCTAGGAAAAGAACCAGGAAAGACAGAATAAAGAGAAAGCAAGAAAGGCCAGTTCCTGAAGGGGAGGATGATTCATCAGAGAGACCACAGAGGAGGATGACTAAGAATATCTTGTACAGTGTTTTTACATGGAGTAGAAGCTCTTTGCTGAATAAATTGGAATTACTGGTTTTGGGCGAAATTCTGATTGGTAAATTGTGAAGGGTACTGATTAGACAAAAACATCACCAAGCTCTGTGACACAGAATTCAAAACACAACTGAAAGTGAGTATAGCATAGTGGGTAAAATACTGCCATACAGATAGGAAGATGGAGAGAAGATGGCACTAAGGAGACCCATTAAAACAAGACTGCAGGGGATTAACGAAGTGGATTGTGGGAAAATAAAGAAAGGAGATTGTAAATAAATACTTTCCTAGAATAAGCATAATTTCAGAAAGCCTGAGCAAGTCCTTCAAGCATTTGGGAAATGGAACAAAATGTTGAATGAAAGTAGTCTTTTAGTTGCTATATCCCTATGTGAAGCCCAGAGAGAAGGCAGCTTTATTCCCCTCATTGTGGCGATTAATTAGTTTAGAGAGTAATAGAGAAAACAGGGGAAATGAAAAAAAGGGAAAAGGATATGCCTTTAAGAAGTATATCTTTTGTCATGTGGGCAGAACAATCAATGTCACTTTCTTTATCATCATCTTTATCATTTACTTAGTATTCTCTTAACAAGAACAACTAGGAGGTAAAAATCCAATTTATCTCTTTTTGGCATAGGTTCTTAGCTTTTTTGTGTGTATGTGTGTATGTCCCTTCTGGCAGTCTGGTGAAGCCCTCTCAGAAGAATGTTTTAAAATACATAAAATTTGAAAAAAAAATCCTCTATTACAGCTTTCTATAAACTTGTAAAATTCAAATGTATGAAAAGCTAAACTGACAAAAGAGGTGATTGAGGAATATTTATTCATATTAGATAATATTCATATTAATTATAATATAATACTAATAATACCTATATTTAACAAACATTTATTATGTACCTACTATGGGCAAGCCACTGAGAATGCTTACACAGATACTGTACATGACCCTGTACTTGGTATGCTTTGTCCCAGGGGACACAAGATAAAAAGCATATGGCTGTTGATGCTAAGGAGACACAATGTAGGAGGGGAGAGAAAATCTGAACACAAGATGGTCTTACACAAAGGAGGACATAACAAGTGCCATCAAAGAGGCACAAACAAAGTGCCCTAGGAATTCGGAGATAGGAGAACTCACTTCAGGCTTGGGAGAAACAAGGGAAACCATTATGGAAAAAAGTACAAGTCTTAAATAATCTGTAGGATTTCAACAATTTGAGGGTTGGGAGGAGGGTAGGAAATACCAGGAGCAAAGCCACCTAACTAGGAAATTTTGAAGTATGTTTGGGGAACAGTGAATGATCTAGTTTGACTAGAGCATAAGGGATATGGAAGAGTGAGTTATGGCTAGATTGTGGAGGGCCTTGCATGTCAGCTTAAGAGCCATTGAAGGCTTCTGAGCACAAGTATGCCATTAGGAAAATTAATATGGTGGGAGTGTACACAAAAGTACAATGGAAATTGATGATTCAGTTAGAAGGCTAGTGCCATAATCTACATGAGAGGTACTAAAGACATGAAATAGGATGATGGCAAGGGAAAAGAGAGCAGGTGATAAATAGGAAAGATGTGGCAGAAGTAGAATCTACAGGTCATGGAAGTTAATTGAATGGTGGGGGTTGAGGCAAAGGGGGGAATAAAGAACAATTACTAAGCTTTGAGCCCCAGGTAACCAGGGGCACCATTCAAAGTGATAGGAGGATCAGGAGGAGGAGCAAAATCTCTGCCTATTTTGTATGAATTCAACTTTAGACATTACGAGCTTGAAGAGGAAGTAGAATGCCCAGTGGGTAACTGGAAATGTGTGACTTGAACTCAGGATAAAGACAAGAAGATATAACAATGAAGTAATGGTGGGAGCTGTGGGACAGGATAAGATCATCAATTCAATTCAACACTATTAAGTACCTGCAAGAAGAGGAAAGGAGATTTAAAAGGCAAGAGAAAAGGCTATAATCTCCACTAAATGCTGAAAGATGGACTAGATGAGATTCAACATTTACATCAAGCCCTATTATTGTTTTACATAGTCCAGAAAAATCATCTACATAATTCCCCTTGAGGGAGGGACTGAGACAAAATTCAAGAATCAACATTTAAATTGATTTATGTTTCCTTTATGTGTCTTCTTAATCGCTTTCTGGAAGAGGTATTGACAAACAGTAATTTGTCCAAAAGAGACAAAACAGAAAAGAGATTAGATAGGATGTCACTCTACTCCAGAAGAGTTAAGAAATGAATATGTATTTGTATTTTATGTCTGCTTCACTTTTTTCCGCCTTTTTTGGACCAGATAGGTAACTAACTTCCTGATGAGAAAACTCCCTCTCCCAAGGCAGGACCTCACCTACTCTGCACTCTCAATCTTAAGAGAATTGTCTAGGGTACTGAAAAAACTCACCCAGGGTCACACATGCAGTTTGTGGCAGGGATGGGACTTGAACCCTGGTCTTCCTGACTCCTAGGTTCACTTTCCTCTATCCATTATGCCACGCTGACTCTCATATAAGTTTCATGTACTGCATTTTTTAAAAATTATGACACAAATCACAACTGGGAGAAAAAATTATTTCTTTAACTATAAAGAATAATAAAATTATTTTTCCTATAGGATACCAAGCATTCTGCCTATTTACAGCTCATCGTCTACCATTTTTTTCTATAAAATTTTAAAGTACCATATTATAATCACACATAAAGCCCTTTCGGACATTTTTCATGTCTTCAGAAACCCCAAAGAAGCTATGTCTACAGAATTTTACCTAAAAATTGAAGAATGTTAGTTTGGGGTTGTGATTAACTATAAATGTATACATTTCACATATGTGACATTATGCAATGAGGGGCTATATTCTTCTGGTAACAATAAAAAATTATGTTTAGAACATTATAATTCATCCTCAAATTAAGTTCTTTGGCAAGTCCCTTCATCATAAAGATAACTGACTACTCTATATGAATCCCTAATGTCTTATATATAAAACCATAGCTAGAGGATAAATTTTCAGAGAATTAATTTTTGTTTCTACTAGCTTAAGGAACTGTAAGTCTTACCTCTCTCTATTCAAATGGAAAAATATTGCAAGTATAGATCAGTTTTCCAAAAATAGCTGTTAAACATTTTCTGTTTTCTTTAAGTTTCCAAACTCACTTCTCCCTCCTCTAAGTTGTCAGGAGATATTCCCATTTCCTAATTTACTAAGGAGATGGGAACCTCTGATGTGAAATGTCTCAATTTCTTTTCTCCACACCTCAAAATATCTTCTTAAAATATTTTATTTTCCCCCATTACATGTAAAACAATTTTTAACATTCATTGTTTTTTTTTTAAGTTTTGGGTTCCAAATTCCATTTCTCCTTTCTTCCTCTCCTCCCACCCTGAGATGGTAAGCAATCTGATATAGGTTATACATCAATATATCTTTAAATCTCATCACCATATCTTCCTTTTCTCCTGTCTCAGATAGAGCTGTCTTTTCTCCTCTCTAACTCTTCTACCTGAAATATTTAGAGCAATGCTAGGGGTTAGCACATTGCCTGGCACAGTTAATACTTAAGGAATGTTTGTTGACTAACTGATGGAAGCTTAAAATATCACTTAATCCATCATTTTACCTTCAAATGAGATTGTACTTAAGAACTTTTTTTTCCTCATAGACATTTTTGGACTTGGAAATATGCAAAAAGGAGTACTGAGAGTCAGAAAGTGGAGACAAATACTATAAGGTTCTGTACCTAAACTTATATAAAAATGATCTCCTATCCTCTACTTTAGGCTTTCCAGAAAAAATATATTATGTCACCTCTCTTAGAAGTCCATTCTTATATTGTACAATCTCACATTTAAGGAACTCTTTTACTCTCTAATTGGAACGTTTCTCACAGTTTCCATCATTCCTTCTGACCCTGTTCTTCAAATGAAGAAGTGAACATTAAGAATTGGAGCCTGACTTGGTGATTCTGTCAGTCGCTAACGGCTTCTCTCTATTGAGCCCATGGGATAAAAGTAGGCATAAAGTAATATCCATATTAGGCATGGAACGGTCACCACTGGTGACTGATGAATGGACAAAGGTAGGGAGAACTGACTGACAACTATGCAATAGGCAAACAGGTCAAAAGTGGTGATTGCCTTATAAATAAAGCTTTGGCTTCTCTCAAAACATTCAGGATAAATGCCACATTTCTAAGTGAAAGTAGATGCACTAGTGAACTTAATGTCACTTGTTTCTTATCAACCTAATTCAGGTAGGGGAAAAATTACCTTGATAGCAGTCTTAGTGTTCTATTACTAATCTCTGTGTGAGCTACATTCAAAAGAATAAGAGCTGGGCAGCCTTCTGACACATATCTCATTACTTCATCCTAAAGAGAAACAAACAAACAAACAAAAGATACTTATCAAAATCTAATGTGGCTTGCGGCCTTCCCATTTTCTCTCTATCTCTTCTACTCAGCTCCGAAGGAAACACGTATTTATAGTTTTAGCACACACACAAAAAAGAAAGATGATATTATATAATCACACTAAATTTGATAAAGCACATTGAATGCATTAACTTGTTCAATCCCTACAATGCCCCTGAGGTAGTTATTACAGATATTATTATCCCCATTTTGGCAGCTAGGCGGCACAGTGAATAGGGCCCCAAATCAGAAGTCAGGAAGACTCATCTTCATGAGTTCAAATCTGGCCTCAGACACTTACTAGCTGCATGACCCTGGGGAAGTCACTTAATCCTGTTTGCCTCAGTTTCCTCATCTGTAAAATGAGTTGGAAAAAGAAATGTCAAACTGATCCATGATCTCTGCCAAGAAAACCCCAAACAGGGTCATGAAAAGTTAGACTCTACTGAAAAATGAAAGGACAATATATCCCCATTTTACCAACAAGAAAATGAAGCCTTAGAAAAGTGAAGTTATTTGTCCAAGGTCACAGATTCATTCTTAGGTCTTGCCTTGACTATAACTTCAGTTCTTTTTCCATTACACAATACTGCTTCATACTTACATAGCACAACTCAATTTTCAGTCTGTGCTGGCTAATTCATTGCGGCACTAATTGGTTTTGAGCAGAAAACTACACTTTTTTTTGGAGCTATGTTTATTCAGTCTATTAACTTTATTTGGAAATGATCCATTCCATTCCTCTGCAATACCAATTTCTCATTTAAATTTAAACTACCCAAAAACCAGCTCTAGGATGAGAAAGTAAGTGCTTAGGTGTCAAATATCAAAATGCCTTAACTATAAAGATATAAAAACTGCCTACATTTGAAACAACAGAAAATTCCAAAAAATAGGATTACTATCAACAAGTAGGAGGGAGGAAATAAACATTTATTAAGCACCTAATATGTTAGGCACTGTACTAAGCACTTTGCAAATATGATCTCGTTTGATCCTTACAACACCCCTAGGGTAGGTGCTATTATCATCCTCATTTTACAGCTAGAAAAACTGAGGCAAAAGAGGTTATGTGACTCACCTAGGGTCACACAGCTACTAAGGGTACAAGGCCAGATTTGAACTCAATTTTTCCTTACTCCAGGCCCACTGCAACAACTGTGATCCATGACTAGTTCCTTATTATAAAAGTTTGTGGCATATTACAAAACTCAGCCAGAATTTTAAGTTCTATACATGGAAAGACAAGTTCAATACAGGTATTTAACCATAGTGTTTTAAAAAGGTAAGTGACTGTATACCTAAAAGGGTGAATAAGTGGCAACCATAGTCCTGCTGCCCAAGTAGTCATGCCCAACACAGCAGAGGAGAGGCCTAGACCAGTTGTACACCTACCAGAAGCTAGGAACGTTTATTTTCAGTATCATTTCCAGTAATAAACATCCTGTCCCAGGTATTTCCACGAGTCATAAAACAGCATATAGCTAGGGCAGGTCAACAAGAGCCCTCTCTACTATGATAGGAGCCAGTCGAAGTGCCAAGACAATGGAATTGTGTGCCCTGTGTGTCCACACAGATTTGTCCATAGAGTGACTGAGCTAAAGTCCCATGCATCCCTAGCCATACGAAAAGCTCTGAGTGCAAGGACACTTCTGAAATATATCTTCCAGGCTTTCAGTAAATGATACCACACTGCTAATGTATTGGAGATGCAAGTAAGAAACCCTGTCCTTCCTTCTGCTGGACTGGCAAGACTCCCTCCCTCTCTGTGAAGTATTTGGACACTGCTACCCATTTTTGGTTACAGGTGGAATCAGCTAGAAAGAATGTGAGATCATTTTTGTGGGAGGAAGGGGAAAGATAGAAATCTAGTGATATGAAAGAAGTGAGTGGAAAACTATGTTTTTTTTAAATGCTGTGCCAACTGGAAGCACTATATTGCACTGGCACTCAATGAAAGGTACTAGCAAAGCAAACTAATAGAGAACAAAAGGAAGATAGGAATATTAGCTTACAACTTCTTCAGCAACAGATATAGAAAAGAAGAAAAGGTAGCCTCTCAGCAAAGAGAGGTAGGAGATATGAATTTTTAATCTACCACAGAATGGCAGCCCTTTGAGGTAAGTCGAACTAGAAAGCAGTCAGCTCCCTGTTCTTCTCTGTCTAGAAAAGATAGATGTCAAAACAAGGTAAAATCAGCTATACCCTCTGTTTCTAAAGTGACCTAGGAATTGTTTTCAAAGTGACTAAGCATATAAATACAACATTAATAAATAGTTGAGGGCCTATAACAGTTTGCAAATTTGTCTATGATGCTCTTTAGATTTTTTAAACATAAAACCTTAGACAATTTTCTGTGAGAAACTGAAGCATGTTGAATGAATATAGTTCTTTAAATGTAAGCTTGCATTTAAAATGCCTTTTTCCCTGAAAACAATAGTAAAATCTGGATGGAATTAGCAGTACCACATATTATTAGAAATTACAGTTGGTAAATACTTTGATGTTTCCAAATTTGATGCAGATGTCACTGAGGTTTGACTTTCTCACTAGACTAGCAAATTCAAAGAATATTTAAATTTACTTGAGACATAATAGACAAATTACAAAAGAAACTAAGTCTTATACATCTAGTTATTTCCCACAGTGTCTAGCACACAGTATGTTCAATAAATACTTGCTAAATGAATGAATCAATCAATGAATGAAAGAGATTTGGCAGAAGTGACTATAGCTAGAGAAAAACATCTGGAGAATGAGGGAGGGAAAATTTTCTCTCTTTCTGATGGGGGAAGCATATTTTCATTTTGTAAAGAAGTAACAAGTAAAAAGAATGAAACTACTCTTTCTGATGTAACTTTTTACATGATTATTGATGTCTCTCAATATTATGGAGTACCCTTCAGGGAACTATATCAACATAAAGAAGCAACCTAATCACTTCAAAGTATCTGTGACTTAACAACAGAGCATAATGGAAAGAGTGCTAGGTTTGGAGTCAGATATCCAGTTTCAAATACTGACTAGGCTTATCCTCTTCGTATGTTCCTGAACAAATCACTTAACTTCTCTGGACCCCATTACCTCATCTGTGAATTGAGAGGTTGGATTAGATGACCTCCAAGGAGTCTTACAGCTCCAAATCTTGATAATGTTATCTATTGGCTATCCATAGGTGTTTCCTCTATGTTGGTGAGTACAAATAAAGCAGTTAATTTAAATCCACAATGGTAATAACTTAGTAGGCAATAAGGAAGTAAGAGGAGAGGCTTAGAACAATTAAAAGCACTTGAAAATTATATGTATATACATTGTATTTATATTTCATTTGTACTTTTTCCACACTTAAAAATAACATTTTTACCATCAAAATTGAGGAGGATGGGGTGGATTATTTGAGGAAATTGCTGCCAGATGCTGTGAAAACTGGAGACCACCAGAACTGCTCAGCTAGTAGCCAAGAGTTAGCAGTAGTCTCTCTCAGTGGAAAATCTCTGAAGAAATGACAGAAGTAGTTAAAGAGATCTGACCAGTCATAACTGCCCCCAGAAAGGCAAAGACTGAACATTATCTGTGACGCCTTGTACATTATGTTTACTTAGTAAATATTTGTTGAATTGAATCAAGTTATTTGCACTTAGAACAGTGCCATGCACATAGTAGACTCTGAGATAATATATGCCACATGTATGATTATGCACCCTTTCATTTACTTTTAGCAGAAATGGTTCATTAAAAATCTTAATGCTTTGTCATCATCTCTTACCAACCATTGAGAGGTATGGCACTATTGTTACTGATAACTGGAAAACATCTGGAAGGAAATTATATCTAGAAAAAAATCTATTTTTTAGATTAGGAAATACAAGCTAGGGTGGTAGGTGAGACAGGGAATCTGTGATTATGTCATATGTATGTATATATGCATGTGTAAAATAAGCAGATAGACCTCCATATGTATATATGCTTCTCTAAATATACATAAATACATATATGCCTATATACACATAAATATACATATAGCCCTATAAAAAGATAAGAAGCAGGTTTGATTATCTCTGTTTTACAGATAAATTGAGAAAATAAATCCTTAAAGTACTTGCTTTTTTTCAGAATTCAAACTGAAATATACCATTTCTAACTTCATATAATAATACTCTTTTTTAATGAATAGATAATTAATTAAGGTCCAAGTTACTAAAAAAAAAAAGTCTTCATTGTCACTTCCCCAAATATTTATCAGGGGCAAGTAAACCAGCATTGGACCAATCTATTCATTGAACTTATTTTAATGATTGGTGCTCTACAATGAAGTCCTATTAGGATGCTTCATTGTGGCAAGAAAGTGACTTTGATTTTTCAAAGTCTATGCCTTTGGGGTTCATACACTGATAAGCCTGATTAAGCTGGAAAGACTTGGGGAATAAGGTTAGTGATGGACTATATTCCACTTGTCCAAAGCTCAGCCTAGCCAAGAGAGGCTCATTGCCAGAGAGCTAGCCACCAGATGAGAAGTTTTTTTAGTCACATCAAGTCATAAAGATCTTCTACTAAGGCTGGAAAGATTTTGGTAAGTGTAAGACTGAATTCCATGGATGAGAGTGTTGTGACTTATACAGATCACTGACAACCAATTTGGTCATGGAAACAGTCAGAAATTCCATGGAAATGGAATTTGGAAATATGGCCCATTGCCATGTATGTATGTATTTATATATGTGTAGGTATGTATGTATATGAATGTGTGCATACCACATCTATGAATGTGTATATATTTAACCAGCTTTCATTGGCAAAGGGAACACACTATGAGGATACTCCCTCTGTTAATTGGTCATTTCTCTGCAACTTATAGTCCTAGAGAGTTACCTAAGATTATAAATATGGTTCATTTTAATGTAATCTTTGGCTTATATAAGTTTGCCAGTGTTGACAGCAATAGGTACATTCCTTCAAATTACCATTAAATATAGGGACAGAAATTTCCTGCCAATTTTAAACAACTTACCTTTCTCTCATAGAATTAACCTCCAATCTTTAAAATAAACACATGGAGTATAACTTTCTTTTGGTAACATTCTTAAATATATATTGGTACTCCAGATTGTAAATGCTAATATTCATTCATTCTTTCTCTCTCTCCATATACATATATATACACATACACATGTGTGTATCACATACATACACCATACACACACACACACACACACACACACACATACACACACACCAATGCTCGTATAGGAAAAAAAAAAGATGATACTCACATTTAATCCTTCATATTCAGAGACATTTAGTTATTGCAAATTTTTGCACTGACCTAAATAAAACATAAAGACCATATTATAAGATTTACTGCATACATTTAAACTTTTTTAAGAGTATAAATAAGAGTAAGATTCCATGAAATGTAGCACATTCATTAGAAAACAAGAAATTTTGGCAAGCAGTTCACTCTAAGTACATGCCTGCTTTTCCAAGGAAGTGGTTCCTCTTGGCCTAAAATTATAATATGTAGACAAGCTTATAATTTCATGAAGATAAAAAAGGGAAGTGGAAAGAAAGAAATTATTCATTTCAGAATAACAGCATACATCACAGCTTTGAACCTTCGAAACACTTCAATAAAACCAACTCTTGTATTTCCACAGCACATCTTGGAGATTGGCACAAAACCCTCCATTCACCAAAAATGAACAGTTTATATAAGTTGCTCAAGGAAAAATTACAAATCATCACTAAAAATACAAGCAAAATCTCCAGACATTTATTATTCAAGAAATATTTAGCAAGTGCCCAGTATGGGCAAGGTATGATGATAGTGAAGAGGAGGTGATAGGACAATTCAAAGAAGATAAGACATTCAGCAGAAGTTTATATCTACCCAGAAAAGTAAAATATTAATATTTTCAAAAAATACTCTAATATATTACATTATACATAAATGCCATATGAGTGGCACAGATAATAATGATGTGGCACAGATGTCCAGGGGAAAATGAAATCACTTCCATCTCAGGTCATCAAGGAAAACATCACAGAGGAGTTGAAGTTTAAGCTAGGCCTTAAAAGATGAGCAGGATTTTGATGAGAGGTGAGCAGGCATACTCGGTGGAGCAACAAGATGAGGTGGACCAGCACAAGGTAGGGATATATTTCTGCTACTTAAATTCATAGGTAGCAGGTCCTCTTCTCATGTCAAAACAAGCCTCAATTAATAAGAAAAAATATGTTATTAATTATAAGTACATAGAAACACAAAGAGGCAGAACATAGCAGAGAGAGTGCTGGGCTTAGATTCAAATCCTATCTCTGACATTAGTTGCATGACTCAGGGTCTAAGTCCCTTAAACCATAATGCCTCAGGCAACTTCCTAGGGTTCATCTGGCTAGTCCTAGTTGTGTTTCCACTTGCTGATGGAAGAATCCTTTCATTGACGAAATGACACGTCTTTCATATATTTGCTTAATAATAACTCTATCCTAAGTAACATTTCTTCCACTGTAAAAAGTGGACCATCTCCTAAATTAATGATGCAAACCAGAAGTATGTTAAGAACCAAAAAATAGAAAGAGACCTTTGAAAGAAATGTTGATCTTGGAAGTCATCAGCAGTACAACTTAAGGAAAATATAGATTCCAAAAGCAATACATGTCAACTGGATTTGGGTGAAAAATATTTTTACAGGTCTGAACAACTGCCTGAGAGTAGTGAGACTATCCTTTCAATTTTAAAATTAGGTTTCAAAGATTCTGTCTTCATCAATAAGTACTTATTAGTGCCTAGTATTGTGCCAGGCTCTGCGCTATATGCTGGGGATACAAATAGAATGAATGAAATAATCCCTATTTGCAAGAAGTTTACATTGTAATAAAGGATACAGAAAAATACAAAAGTATACACAGAATATGTACACATACATACAATACATAAAGAATAAATTTCAAAGACAATTAATGCAAATAAATACAAAGTAGTTAAATACAAGGTAGTTTGAGAGAGAAAGATCTAGCCATTGGAGATATCAGAAAGGCTTCATGTAGAAGGTGGTACTTGAGCTGAATCTTGAAAAGAGGAATTTCATGTGATGGAGATGAAGAGGGAGTATGTTACAAGCATAGAGGGCACCCAGTGCAAAAGCAGCTAGATCGGAGACTGAATGCATGTGTGAGCAATAGAGAGATGGTCAGTTTGTCTGGATTGCAGCATATGGGAAGATTAATGTCCAAACAACTTCGGAAAGATAAGTTGGAACAAGGTTGTGAAGACCTTCAAAAGTTAAAAAGAGGAGTCTATATTTGATTACACAGACATTGGAGTTGGCTGAGCTGGGCAATGACACAGATAGATTTATAGTTAAGAAAATCTCTTTGGCCACAATGAGAAGGATAGACTGAAATGGGGAGGTACTTGAGGCAGGAAGACCAATTAGGAGGCTGTAGCAATGATACTGGTGAGAGGTGATAAAGACCCAAACTAATGTTGTAGCTGGGTGAGTAGAGAGGAGGAGTCAAAAGCAAGACATATTATGTGACGTGAAAGAGAGTGAGCAGTCAAGAATAATGCCAAGGTCACAAATCTGGGAAACTGGGAGAATGGCAGTGGTTTTGAAGCAGAGAAGTTTGGAAGAGGACTGGCTTGGGGGAAAATATGAGTTCTCTTTTAGAAATGTTAAATTTGAGAAGTCTCCAGGACATCCAGTTTGAATGTCTAGTAGGCAATTAGTGATACAAGATTAAAGTTCAGGGGAGAGACTAAATACATAGATCTGAATGTCATTAGCATAGAGATGATAATTAAACCCATTAGAGCTGAGAAGGTCACCAAGAGAGTCATTGAAGAGAGACAGGAGTAGGGGGCATAAGAGAGAGCCTTAGGGACACTTATAATTTGGAGACAAGATCTAGATGATGAACCAGCAAAGGAGAAGTTGTTAACTGAGATACCCTGTTTAGATAACTGGCTTATCGGGTGTATATTATCCCCTGACAATACTTTTTCTGTTTGCTGAGTTTTAAAAGGTATTGCCACTAATTATTATAGTTGATTCATGATGTTCAAGGAAACAAACGTAATAGACTCAATCACTTCTCATCTAATCATAGCCAAAGTAAACTCAAAAGATTCTTTTCCTAAACCCTACTTATACTAACAAGTCAGTTTCCCAGAGCAAGACTGCATCTCCCTTTCAAGATCCTGCAAGTACAGTGTGATTCTTCTCTAATAGTACCAACTTGAAGCCCCATTACAGTGTGCTGTCCTTAATGTCAACCCCAGAGATTAGTACTTCAATATCATTTAACCAATTAACATACATTTTCCCTAACACCTGGGAGCATACTCTTACCTATACCACATCTTGATCCCTGGGGAGAGTGGACTCCAACTTAAAGTGGTTGTTACAAGGCATTTGCTCCCAAGTTCACTTGCAAATGTGGCATGTCCAATCAACGAACTGCTGTGGCTCCCTCTTGGCTACCCTTCAATCAATGCTAGGTCAAAAACATTGCTAAAGACTTTACCCCTCATCATCTAGGCTTGCCACAAAATCTAGGATAAACTATACCTCCTGGGCATCTGGTGTCTCACCATTCTGAACTCTCAGCGCCCAGGAGGTCATAGTTGTCTTCAGTATATTTTCACCTAAAAGATGGAAAAAACAAATGCAAAGAGAAAAACAGAAATCTGTATTCATGGTCCACAGGTCAGCCCTAGGTAGGGAAGATATAAGGTCTCTCCCTATCCAAAAGCTGGATATCTCTCTCATCAGAATTTGGGAAATAGCAGGAAACTTATTTTTGCCAGTCAGCACCTTTTGAATGTACCCTGGTTCTGGCTCAGTAGCCAATCAAAAGTCTGTTTCTTCACCATGTGCTTGGTGAACAGACCCGAGACCAAATGTCTGCATGTGCTCCATAATCCACATCAACCATGCCCACTGTGCATTCTCATAAGAGCTGGCCTCATTGGCCAATCCTTCCTGTTACACAAGAATCATAATGGCAAACTAATGACAAAAACAGTGATAACAGAGTAGTTTACATTTGTCAAAATCTGGGTCTAGGTTATGCCTGATTTGGAGTCTTAATTGTTGGACAAGTGGGCTACATTTTACTTTTCTATCAAATAATTTCATTGTTTATAATAAGTGCTCAAAAAGGATGTGAGTAAATAAGCATTTATTAAACACTTGCTATGTGCCAGGCACTGTGCTAAGGGTTAAAGGAAAAATAGTCTCAGTTCTCAAGGCACTGACAGTCTAGTAAGGGAGACAACATGTAAACAAATAGGTATATATAAGGGACATGCAAAGTAAACGGAACATAACCTCAGAAGGGACCAGCCCCAGATTGAAAAAGCCCTTCTCCATACGGTAGATGGATTGAACTGAGTCTTGAAGAAAGTCAGGGAAACGAAATAATCAATCATTTATTAAATACCAAGCACTGCGGAGTCAAAGACAAAAAGGAAACAATCCTTGCCCTCAAAAGGAGCTTACATTTTATTAGGGGAGACAACATGGACGCACATAGCAAATATAAAAATACTAGATAATTTGGGGTGGGAAGGCACTAGAAACTGAGGGGATGAGGCTTCATGGAGGAGAATTTATTTGAACTAAGTTTTCAAGAAAACTAGGAATTCTAAGAGGTAGTGGTGAGCAGGAAGGATGTTCCAGATATGGAGTATATCCTATGCAAAGGAATGGAGATGGGAGATAGAATGACATGTGTGAAGACCAGTTTGGTTAGACCACAGAGTTTTTGAAAAAGAACAATAATTAATAAGGCTTTAAAGGAAAGCTGGAGCCTAGTTGTAAATGTTTTTAAATGGCAAGTAGAGGAGTTTCTATTTTATCCTAGGGATGACAGGAAGCCACAGCAACTTACTGAGTGAGGAAGTGACATGATCAAACCTATGCCCTGGGAATATCCATTTGACAGCTGTGTTGTGGGTGGAGCAGACAGGATATTATTGTAACAATACAGGCAAGAGGTGGTGGTCATGTGATTAGGGAAGAGCCAGGTGAGAGAGAGGTGCACACAGAATCAATAAAACTTGACAACTGACTGGATGTATATGGGGTGAGAGAGATTTAGAAATGGAAGATAACCTTGAGATAGGAAAATTGGTAGACTAGGAAAAATAGTGGTGCCCTCACAGAAATAGCAAAGTAGAGAAGAATGGGATTAAAAAGGAAAGAGAGTGAGTTCTGTTTTGAATATGTTGAGAAGGAGATGCCTAGGGGATATGTAATTTGAACTGGTCAGTAATGAGAGACAAGTTCAGGAAAAAGACTGGCTAAATATAGAGATCAG